CTCTAATAAAAAAAAAGATAGTGCTGCTCAAAAGCTTTTATCTGAACGGCTACATTCTCGAGTTTCAGTTACAGACTTAACAGACCAGGGTCCAAATAGTTAAGAGTCACATTAAGTAATTCTGCTGCACTATATAAGAAAGCGCTGCTCAATAGCTTTCATCTGAATTACGTAATGAGTTTCATCAACAGGCCTAAATTATATAGCACCAAATGAAAGAACTTCTAGTTAGCTCTCGTTTGAACAGCTACACGCCAAGGTTTCACTCACAGACCTAATGCCCGGGTCAGAGCCGCCTTAGTTTTGCAACATAAATGAACAGTACCAGTACATGAACGAATAACTCACTAGCTACCTGAGGTAGTCTTTCAACACAGACTTGCGCCCTTATAGCACGCTTAACATTGCCAGTTAACAAGATTCATTTATCAGTCGTGTGCAGTGAAATGGCTTTGAAGTCAGCCCCGTGTTGGTTAATACGATAATGTGGGAGATGAAAAAAGAAAAGGTTTTTAAAAATGTACAATGTCTAAAGTAATTGTCCACAAACTGCAGCGTCATAAGCTATTTTTGTCTTTCTTTGCATAAAAACCTGACACCAACCTCGTGTTATTACAGTGTTACAAGTTTGACGTAACTGAAAAAGAGGAGAGGAAGAAAAACATGCTACAAAATCTCTAATACTATTCTATATGTTCACTTAGTAATCTGTTACTTAGACAGTGCCGTTTTAAAATCGCAACTGAATTGGATTGTACGAGCTAATCTTAGACTGGGATTACAGCATTGAAAAACATGCGAGACGCGAGCTAAACTGCAAGCCAATGTGAAATAATTTAACTGAAATTAGTAATGAAAGGTTCCCCTGAGGGCTACCCGATGACAAGGCTTCCGTGTGTAGAATTCTTTCCACTGAGAGGCGGTATTGCTTTTTTTTTTTGGCTAATTTTCGCCTCAAAGAAAAAAAAAGAAGGCGATGATAGTAGAAGGTATAATATCATTACTCATTCCTTGAATGTGTCATGTTAACCGCTTCGTCCCTGTCGTATTTTCTGTTGCACGCGACATCTGACTTGCGATGAAACTAAAATTAGATCTCTGATCGCGAAACAGCCAAAGGGCAAATACAATGAAGGACACCCGTTGTGTGTTTTCTATCCACAAGCGAGGAATTCCGTTTTCTTGTCTTGGTTAGGCTTTTTCCGCCCGGTTTTTAAAGGTTTTCTTCGATCTGATTGACGGCGTTCGATGCAAAAGGACTGAACTAATGCTAGCGTGACTTAAGCACAATCGCGTGACTGAAGAAATGTCAATTAGAAAACAAATGCAACATGCTATTTTCTCCCCATTCAACTTGAATTACGTTGAATAATCAATAGTATGTTTTTCTCTCTCAGTCATTATCTTAGGGTACGTTCTCTGGGAAAAAAACCGTTCTGGACAATGTTAAAAACATTTCAAAGTTTCGAGAATGCTGCGTATTTCATCACCCCACTACCGCACAAGTTTCCGGTGTATGTTTTTCCTAAGTGGCCCTTATACGATGAGGGCAAAAGGTCTCTCTTTCAATATATATTTATCATGACAATAAACCCTTGCTAAGAAAATTCCTATTTGTTGTGTCTATTGTCTGAAAAAAACTTTTACCGTTGGTCTCTATTTGTTTTTGGTGCAAAATATAACCGCAACTAAATGACCGCCCCGAAAAAATACGAATAGATTATCGCACGCGTATCGATGTCAAATGTTCCGAGATTTGTCTGGACTTATCCCGGAGGGTCCCGGAGATTTGTCGCCAAGTCATGCACTCGACGACATTGTTTAACCTCGATATCACTGTTGTTTAAATATTTCTCCGTTGTTGAAGCTTTCCGTTCATCAACTGTCTTACTGTGAGAGTGGGGGAAATGCACCAAAGCCGGTGTTGTGTGAGATAAGCGAAACTGACTCACTGAAAAAAAGGGACAGCGAATTCTTGTATTTCCTCGTCAAATCGTATTAGAAACAATAGAGGTATTAAGTCCACTAATAAAAAGATCAACTCGCGCCTCTTAAACTGATTTCGTGTCTAATACCCCCTACGGAAAACAGCTTTAAGCCCTTCGGCTTCGCAATGCAAGAACTGAACGACAGCCAAAAAATGTGTTACTGTATTCCGCACGCAATCGAATGTTGAAAGTAATAAACACGTTTAAGTGATTTTAATGACACCTTCACATCTTTGAACGTTTCAACAAAGCTGTTCTCGTAACGTTTCGTTCATCTCGGGTTTCATGGTGAAATGCACCCGGACGAAGAGCTGTTTTTTTCGATAAAATCTCGTTGATCTCTGGTAATTTGGAACAAGTGGGCATGAATGTCAAAAAACTACATCGCTGCAATCGATCAACATGCTTCTGTGAAAACTTGTTGTTGACTTGAAAGGGGTTCTTCAAGCATGCAGGGCTGCACAACAAGGTTGCTGCGATGTTTCAAGAAATTTAAAGAAATGAAGTATACTCACCGAAAGCAGAGTTGCAATATTCATTTTGCGGATGACTCGGCAAACACGAGCAGCAACGACACACTGAGATGAAAGCACTACACAGGAAGAACGATACGAGAAAAAAAGCCATCGTGTATTTCGCCAGAATCACGCTTCCAAAACCCACTCGCTGCGTGTGGAACCCAATGTCGTTTTTCACTTCCTTGCAGCGTCGAAAGCCAAAAGGTGTTTATGCGCAATGGACAGGGATTTTTGCTGTTGTCTCGCCGGTGAAGGTCGTTTTACGCTATCGCTCTGAAATCGGATACTGGTGTAGGGCGTCCACAAAGGATGAAAAAATGCAACCCTTTTCGAGAACCCGTGATGTCACCACGCATTAAAAATACATTTCAATGAACAGGACAAAGTCACGCCTGACAAGACCACACGGGTCTTATTTTGTATTGAGTACGAGTAGGCTTATTCCCATTGTGTCGGCTTTTCCGGGTGAAGTTCCAGTCTTAAATGGTAAGGGCAACGGACATAAATTGAGTTATCCAATATACACTGCTTATTTTAAACTATTTCTACTTTGAGCGGAATATTTCTGCTATAATATCGATGTGTTTATATTTATGTCGCATCCAAGGGCCGCTCGAACATAACAAATTAGGCAGTTTCTGACAGCGTCGTTTGTTTTCTCTAAATACGTCTCGAAATATTTGTATTTAATTTCTACTTGTCAACTTCTTCTTATCATTATTTTAGCGTTAAAAAGGAAACTGTTGCTGTGGAATTTTTAGGAAGTCGTTCGTGACCCCTTGCCAAGGACGTGTTTAGATTGTCTTTTCCTGAAGAATTAAAAATATTTGTTCTTAATTCAGCTGATAAGGACATTTTTTGCATTTTCTCTGACGTTTTCTAAGTGGTTTTATACGAGTACACGTAATTTTACAAGGATGGCTTTATGGATCATTGTCCACTAATTTCCTGCTTGTTTCTTCTAGTCGCATATTTCTCTCGTTTTCACCTCTTTACACTTTCGTATTACTTTTAGGAAGCTATAAAAAAAATTCACCAGTGATTGAAAGCTTGATTGCAATCTAGCTTGGAAAACACATGTTTTCAAAGCACCCGAGCGTTTTTCACTCCGTTTAAAACTGAATAAAAATCGTTAACTCTTGTAATACTATGATATAAATGACCAGGCGGAATTCATTCTAGAAAATTCACCAAACCTGTTAATTTTCAAGTGGTGTGAATTTCATCACATTATCACAGTCATTAGAAACAGAAAGAAAATATTTAAGTGAAGGAAGGTAAAGAACTCAATTCTATGCGTGTGGTACTCGATTATTTCCTTAACGTAGGAGGGGTTTGAGCACATGCTAGCGGTTTTTGCTCTTAAGTAATTGCTAGGAATGTTTGCTTTTGAATTTTGTATCTGTTGATCACGATAACTGTAAAACGGAAGCTATAAGACTTTTTTTTTTGCGGTTCCGCGACGCTGAAAAATGCTTCGAATAACATTTCTTTGTATGGTTGTGGTTTTAGTATAACTTGTGTCTTGAATGGTATCAGAAAAAATGTGTAATAGTTGTTGTTGTTGTTGTTGTTTTTCATAAAGCGAGTTTGGTTCTAACTCGTTATTTTATCCTTCGGTTACTAACGGAAGTCTAATTTCGTAAAACTCTACTATTTTGTAGGATTCGTAATTTAAATCTGGGTTTTTCGTTGTCTTTTTCTCTGAGTTCCTTTATTAATTGCGCTTGTATTGGTTCAATAATAGTTCGGCTCTTTGCCAAACATTTATTCAGAGAGTTCCATCTATAAATTGCTTGCAACGACTGCAATTTTAGATTACAGGGGATTATGTCGGATTAAAAAGTGCTATGCCAGAAGCCTAAAGATTTGTAATACTTAGAATGATTTACGTCTCTGCGGCAAGCGAAAATGAAATGCACAGTTTTCCTTAGAAAGGGGTGTGGTTAGGAGAGCTCTAATCGACATCACTAGCTGGCCATGCCTTGGTTAAAATATCATCGTTTGCCGTTTAATTCAAACGCCACATTTTTCGGTATCCATTAGTTGACCACCATTAATCGATCTTTGTTATCTTATCCTAAATAATCTTTATTGGAACTTGTTGCGGTAAACCCTCCCCAGTTATGTCGTATTATTTTGTTATCATTTGGTACCTTATCTAACGGACGATACAATTACGCTCAGCTTAACCCAAGTTAGCTTATTGGCTACAAGGATGTTTCTTTTGATTCAGTGTCAATTATTTAAGGGCCATGCACTGAAGAAAGAATATTTAACATACCATTCGATCTACAGTTCTCATTAAAGCTACACTGAATAATATGCAAAGATCCGATCCCCAATATTTTTAAAGAAAATCCTGAAGATGTTTGGGGTTAATAACCTTTTGGACAATGCTTGCTTTAAAATTAAAGTCAGCGTTTTTTTTTAACAGAACGCTTTAATAAAAGAGTATTAACTATAAATTAAAGTTATTATCATGTGCCATGAAATTTGGCAAGGGTTTTTTTTTCCGGTTTTTTTTTTTATTATTATTATTATTTGCAATTTCGAAAGGGCGTCTAATTTTCGATAGAATTCAGTTGCGCGATCTCAGAAAACTTGTCAATGCATCTTGAAACTCACACAATACATTTTAGTGTGACGTGTGTTTCACGAATTCAAAACTGTTTTATCTCCTTAATAACCCAAGAGCATCTCGCGGTTTTCTTAATTCCGGGACGCGCCATTTTGAAAAACCCGGTTGCAAAGATGGCGCGAAATATTTGCTTGCACGGCGGGATTCCAGATTCCAATTTTTTTTGTCGATTAGTCATTCAAAGCCAGTTTATAACCCGGGGAAAAGAGTTGGCAGGTCATGTTGGAAGGATGTCGCTTTTTCGGGAAAGCAGGTTGCCAGTTTTCACACTGAGTTTTCACAAGGACTCCTAGTTTTCAGTTGTGTCGCCGAATTACATTTGTCTCGGCACGGTTAATGTTACGTAACTGCTTGTTCTCTTGTGGGAAATCTGCGAATGCCATTGAACGTTTTAGCAACCTGTGTTGGAGCTGTGGAACGATGAGATCACAGTGTCGGGACGTCAACATTTTAAAGCCACTATGCAATTCACTCGCCGATCTTTTCAGAAGAAATTTGTCTGAGCAAAAGTTCGGTTTAAAGAAGTTTATTTAACAACATTCCAATTGCGCCATTCTAAGTCCACCCACTAAAATCACACTTTGAGGTCTGAACCCTGATGCGCCGAACCAGGTCAACCACGGTGAAAGAATACCAAGAAGAAATCCACTCCACTTGTTATGTCAGGAATTACATCAGATTGCTAACACTCTCTGTAGGAAATACGATGGACCTCCCTGGAATAAGTTGTTCCACTGTGTTTTGTTAAACACACATCTTATTTTCTTAAGACGTTTATGTAATATCTTCAATCTGGGTTCAGTATTTTTATCTTCATTGTAGCAAGTATGATTACTAGTCATATTAGTTTACTCGTAAATAAAACACCGCGCCCTGTATTTATCTTTTAATTTTACAATACAGTTGGGATGTTCAGAGTAATATAATTAACTTAAGTTAAAGGTACAATTTTACAATGATAAGCAAACCCAAAATAACCTTAGAAATTCCATCTTGTGTAAATCTCTTGCAAACATGCAGAGCTTGACTGACATAAGACAACAATGGTCTCATTTCTGTCCTAAAGAATTAGTTTCATCCTATTGAAACTCATGCCGAAATCTGATCAATCTTTTTTGCCGGAGGGAAGCATGCAAGTTATTTCGTGCTTACCATTGTTGACCAAGCTTTTATTTTATTTACCTAAACTGTTTCTTTGTTTATAAAACGGTGATCTAAAATTGGGCGATGGTCAAACGGCCCCCTTCCCTCCCCTCCCACACACCCCTATTTTTACCACCACTACATCCTTTAATGTATTTCTTCACTTGTTTAATTAAACGAAAGAAGCGCCATGGGTACCTAAAGCCAACAAAAACATGATTTGCATATGAAAGGATACATTGGTCATATATTGGTCATTTTCGTAGAAGAACAGTGATATATTTGCGGAGTACTTTTCCGTGGTATCATTTTCAGTGGTAAAATCCGTTTTTCGTGGGAAAAAAGCCTCAATCATTAATTCGATAGACCGCAAAATTTAACGTCATTATTGTTTGCAGCTTAGCAATCCCTAAGAGATTCAAAAAACAGTGATGTGGAGGGCACGTTTTGGGAACTTGAAACCGAGAAGATAGCAATATTGCAACTGTCCATTGACCAACATGGCGTCAGATGACGTCATGTGCACTCAACAATTTTGTTTTCCAAAGCTAAACTTTTTTCGAAAAACACGCTGCCATGTTTTTAGACTGCCAA